CCCGCCCCGCCCCAAAAGCTCAAGAAAAATGATGAAGCAAATACCTGCTGCAGCCATCATGGACTGATTCGTGCGATACACACCACACATACGGCCATACGCCATACACACATACACACACACACACATACTGACCCACCCACCCACCCACCCACCCAAAAGAAAGAAGGGAACGAAATCGATCGCTGCTCGACACGACATCAGAAAGGCATCCGCAGGTTGGTCAGCAGCGGGCCGTCCGCATCGGCGAGGAACCTCGCGTCAGCAACTGTGGTGGTCAAGTTGGCCTTGGGGAGGGGGAGGGGGAGGGAGGCGGGCTCGTTCTCGTTCTGCTCGTTCTCAGTCTCGTCATGCTCATGCAGCTCTCGCCTTTGCCGCCTTCTTCGCCTGGCCTCATGGTCGTAGAACTCATAGAAATCCACCCAGCTACACACACAGACAGACAGACAGACAGACACATCGCTTCAGTGTGCCCGTCGTCTCTCTCCTCCCACCGTCCCACCGTCCCACCGTCCCACGCACACACGCCGCCGACTGACTCACCCGTGTCCATAGTGAGCCCATGCGCTCGGCTGGGTGAAGCGGTCCTCTTTGCTGAGCTTGCAAGCCGTCCGCGTGACCTCATAGTCGAACGACAGACACCACGCTTGCTCCACACACCTGTCCGCGCACGCCTCGACCGTCAAGTCGTTGATCGTCTCCTCGTTGAAACCCCGCAGGGCGAACCCCGGATACCGCACAAAGTACCACAGGTTGGAATCCGCCGGAACAACGGGCTTCAATGGGTCGGGCCGACTGCCTGGCGGTGGGCTGCCCGGGGGGTCTCCTTCGCCTGGTGGGGGCTCTCCGGGTGTGGGGGTGGGTGTGGGGGTGGTGCTGCTGCCGCCGCCGTCCTGCTGTGGCGTGACGGTGACCTGCACGGCCATGTCGGCGAAGGCCACGTCGTTGCCGTGCATGCTGAAGAAGATCAGGCCCGTAAGCACGACGTCGTCCTTCATCTCGGGGGTGGGATTGATCTCATATGCGACCTGGGCCGAGTGCCCGGGCGGGATCTCGCCCGAGGCTATGCTCTGACTGTCGCCTGTGACCGTGACGGTATCGTCGCTGTCGCTGGTGGAGCTGAACTTGAACCAGGTGTCGACTTCGCTGGATTGGGGGTGGAAGGTGACGGCTGAGCGGGAGGTGGGGAAGCTCCCGGATGGCTCGAAGTCGACCTTCATGGTGCCGTCGAGGCTTGCCAGACCAACCTGACATCCAACAGCCATCCATCCATCCATCAGCGGCAACCCCTGTGTGTGTGTGTGTGTGTGTGCGTGCATTGAAGGGTGGGTGGTGGGGGAAGGGTATGTGTCAGTCAGTCAGTCACCTGCGCCCAGGTGCCCCCGACGCCCCCTGACCCCTCCATCTCGTTGTAGAAGAAATGGATGGCCCCCGTCTTCTCCAACACCACCTGGAAGGTAAAATGCGACGCCGGGTCGCCTGAACACACACACGCGCACACACACACACACACACATACAGATGTGCAGACTCCTGTGGGGCTGTCTGTCCTTGTGTCAGCTGTCCGTCGGCTGATTGACTGACTAGAACTAACCGAAGTGCCTGAGGTCTTGCCACTGGACGACCACCTCGCTCTCCGTGTGGTAGACCCATACATCGGCGTCCGCCTTGCCGACCAGCGTCAGGTCACACCAGTACGGAGCTATCACCTACACACACACACCCACACGCACACACACACACACACACTTGTGTCCGTGTCAGACTCTCCTTGTGCCATTATTCATGGGCTCAGTCGGTGTCAGTGGCTGGGATTGTCCCGACCGCCTTGAGTCCATCGGCTTTGCCGAGGCCTGGTTCGTTTGCCCGGTCGGCTTCGAAGTCCCATGCCTTGAATGTGATGAAGCCGTTGGTGCAGATGTACATGACCTCATGGTCCTCGCCCCAAAAGTGAAAGGGGAAGGGCAGCATCACCTCAGCCACGGCGTCGTCCTCATCTGTCCAGTCCACACACACAACACACACACACCGACAGACAGGTCGCTCCATTCTCCTCCTTGTTGTTTTGTTTGCCGGGGAGGGAGGGCGTTCTCACTTGAGAGCATGAGCCTCCGCTGCTCGGCCATTTTCCCGGTGGAAGCGTCGTTCCATGCGAAGGCGGGCATGGCCTCCTTCCTGTCGTTGCGGGCGATGAAGTAGCCGTCGACGGTGGCGTTCATCTGCCGGTAGAGGGCCCTGTTGGTGGGCACGAACATCATTTCGTAAGTCATCGCGGTGCCCCCGCCGTTGGTGATCTGACCATGGGCGACACACACACACACACACACACAGGCACACGCCACGCACAATGAATGTGTGTGTGTTGGGTGAGAGGTGAGAGGTGAGAGGCCCACCTCGATATGTGTGTCGTCGGAGGCACTCATAGAGCCGGTCTCGTGGACGACTGCGGGCGGGCTGAGGGTCGTGTTGGTGGTCACGGCGTGCAGCTCGATCTGGTAGGCCTTGCCGCCCTCCTCGTTGGTCTCAATTTCCAACGTCGTCGTGATCTCGGCAGCCTGCATCCGGAAGAATCCCATCTGACACACACACACACACACACATACATGCACCTCGGTCAACCCACCCATCCCATCTAATGAATGCGTGTGTCGCGTGTCCCGTAGCACCCATAGCACCTGAACGCCGTCGACTTCGTTGCCGGGCTCAACCATGATCGTTGTCGCTGGCATCGAGGGGTTGGAGATAAAGTCCATGTAGTTGCCACCCGTGAATCGCAGGACCTTCACCTCGAGCGTCTCACCCCCGTCGTTGGCAAACGAGATGTACTTGACGAACATTGGCACACCAGTGGCGCCACTCCCCAGATCCATATACGCGGGCAGGTCACGCAACTGCGGGCCGGTGTTGCCGTCAGGGGGCTGAGAGGGCGAGGGCGTTTCTGTGGGGGGCGCTCCTGTCCTGGGAGTGCCTGTCGTTGCTGGTGGCTCTGTCGACGGCAGTGGCACCTCGGGGGGCTGCTGTGTGGGGGCTACGGGGGGGTCAGTGGGCGGCGCCATGCTTGGCGCGGCTGTGGGCGGCGCCATGCTTGGCGCGGCTGTGGGCGGCGCCATGCTTGGCGCGGCTGTGGGCGGTTGTGTTGGGGCCGTTGTGGGTGGGGCGCCCGTCTGCTGGATGTCCGCTCGCACTGTGACGTTGACCGCGGCTTGGTCGACCTCACTGCCCGCGGCGTTCTCGGCCGATACCACGATCTGCGCGCTGATCGAGGGAGAAGCGTACACACACACACACACACACACGCGGGCATAGACCTGGGTGGGTGAGAATGGGTGGGCAAAAATGAGACTCACACGTATGTGCCGTCCATTTTGGGGCTGAGTATGACGGGGATGTTGATCTGCCCGCCCGCGGGAAGGTCTGAGGGCACGTTGAAGGTGTCCAAGATAGAGATCCACCCGCCGCTGCTGTAGCTGTCGGCCACCGAGGCCGCCGCGTCGAGCAGGCCCTCCGACACGCACTTGCCCTCCAGCTGATCGAGCTTTTGCACCGTATCCATGATCAGCTTCTTCACCTGATCAGACAGGACCCATAAGTGGGGGATGGGGCTGTGTTGTGTTGTCGCATTCATTCTTTCTTACGTCTGGGTAGTTGAGTGAGGGGTTGACCTCCCAGACAAGTGCCACGGCGCCCGCGACGTGTGGGGCGGCCATGCTGGTGCCGCTGAGGTCGGTGTACTGATTTCCAGGCTGGCAGCTGGCGATGTTCACACCTGCATCGGTAGGTAGAGCGAGGGACGATGCGATGCGCGGGTTTTAGCCTGTCTCTCTCTCTCTCTCTCTCTCTCGATGTGTGGCTACCAGGCGCGCAGATGTCGACTTTGGTCGCCCCATAGTTGGTGAACTGTGGCGTCACGCCACTCTCTGCTAAGGCCATCACCTGACCCACACACACGCGTCATCGAGACGGACTTGCCAGCCAATAGGCGCGTGTGTGTGGCCATGTATTGTATTGTATGCGCCCATACCGAGATGACGCACTCGCCGTCATAGTTGGCAGGGTAGAATGCCGTTGCGTCGTTGTCCGTGCCCTCGTTGCCCGCCGCCGCCACAAACATGATGTCGCTGTTGCAGCACTCCTGCACAGCAGTTTCCATCGCCTGAAGACACATCACATCCGTCCCATTGCACATGTGGCAGGGCGGCTGGTTGGTTGCTCACGGCCGAGGATCCGCCGCCTCCCCAGCTGTTGTTGAGAATCTTGGCCTTCTTCGTAATGGCATACTCGACCGCCTTCACGGCGTTGCTCACCGACCCCTGCACACGCACAGCCAAGGCACCACACCCACATACAGGGAGAGTGACCTATTCGGTTATGGTGTTCACGGCAAGCTCAGTGGCGTACCGATCCCGATGCTTCCAGGAACTTGAGGGCCATTATCTTGGTGCTCGAGCCGTACGCCACACCCACAATTCCCTTGGCGTTGCCGCCCTCAGCCTGAGATACACACACACACACATATATATACACACCCACACATTCAAACAGAGAGAGAGAGAGAGAGAACGAGATGGATGGATGGGTGGGTGGATGGGTGGGTGCAGACGGTGTCAGTGCGCATGGAATGCTTTGCAAGTCACCATGATGGTGCCAGCGCAGTGGGTTCCGTGTCCCTCGTCGTCGGCAGGGTCGTTATCGTCGTTGGCAAAGTCCCAGCCGTACACGTCATCCACGAAACCGTTACCTGTGCCACAGACGAAGAAGAAACAAGGCTAGGTCGATGTCCCATTCCCTCCTCGTCCGTCTGGCATACCATCATCATCCTCGCCGTTGTCCGGGATCTCATCCGGGTTGACCCACATCACGTTCTGGAGGTCCTCATGGTTGTAGTCCACACCCGTGTCTATAACACCCACAATGTGCCCCGTCCCCTGCGCCCTCTCTCCCGACAGCGTCCCGCCCAGAGTGCTGTCCACTATGCTCCACGCTTCCGTCGCCTGGATGTCAATCCCGGTGTTGGCCTGGTTCTGTAGGCCCCACAGCGACCCGTCCGCGAACAGGGGATCGTTCGGCTCTTTCCCAGTGTACTGGTCTGCATCAGCAACAGGAGCCAGCTGGCCCCCCACCCCGCCGCACGAGAGATTGCCGCTGATGCAGTCGTCGAGAAGGGGCACCTGGTGGTCGACCTGGTAGAGCTGGATGTAGCTGTCGGCTGTGGGGGGCGGGCCTAACGAGAGGCTCGACGCGTTCTGCTCTGACGAGGGGATGCTCGTGGACTGCTTCTTGAGCCGGGGAGGCGTGCTCTTGGGGGGCGTCTTGGGCGACGCGGCGCCCACGTGTCGGTACTGCAGGGCCTGCAAATCGCGGTCGGGCTGCCGAAGGTTCTCCTTTACCCAGGGAGAAAACGCATAAGTAGGCCTGCAGCACAACACGAATCCATCCGTCCACAGTCATCAAAATCCATGACCTCTTCCTTCCTCTGGTGCGCATGGCATGGCATGGCATGGATGGATGTCTGTGGAGTGAGTGGACTTGTCACTCCTCTCCTCACGTAGTATCGACGGGTTCCAGTCCGCCGCGGCCATGTGAGGCGATGCGCACGGTCTGGTCGAATTCGCAGAAGACGACGTCTTCGCTGCTGCAGGCGGCCTTGACGAAGGCCTTAACGTCCCCATCCGTGGCGAAATCCATGATGTCCATGTTGAGCCGCTTCAGGTACTTGTAGTTCTGCACCGTCGACGCGTAGCTCGGCGCGTTAAGGCCGCCCGCCAGATCTGTTTGCTGCCTCAACGCCTGCACACACAGAGAGGGAGGGTTGCTCCTGATTGAATGCTCTGGTCTTGATGACCTACGTCATCGATGCTGGTGCGCCCGGCGGTGGGGTCGTCCCTCCACTTGACCATGAACCGCTCGCCCTTCTTCTGGTCCACCAATGCCACCATGTCATCCGGGCTCAGCTGGCTCCTCATGTCGGGCGCCCCGCTGCCCTTGGGCTGGTACGCCGCATTCGCCACCGACGCGTAGATGTTGAGCGCCTCGGCCTCGTTGTTGACCACACTCACTTCGACCGTCTTCTCCTCGCCCGATATGATGTCCTCATCGAACCCTTCCGGGGTGACTGCGATTCCTCCCGCTTGACCAGCCGTGAGGACCGAAGACTGCAGAAGGAGGGTGGCGAGCAGTAGAAAGGCGGCAGGGAGCCAGCGTGGCCTCATGGCTTGTGTGTTTGGGGTGTTTGGGGTGTTTGGGGTGTCTGGGGCTGCCTTTGCTTCTGCTGTTTCTGCAGTGTCCGGCGCGCGTGTGGGTGCTGGGGAGGTCGCCATGCTTTGTAGCGTCCGCGAGCGCCTCGCCCGCAGGTTCCTTCCCCTTTTTCACCCTCCCCAGTTTGTTGGTGTACTATTATTTCGTCCGCCGCCGTTGATTGAGTCGCAGGCGCAAGAAAGAAACATGAATGCGCTGGACGCCACTTCCCCAGCCACGCTCTCCGTGGACAAGAGGGCAATCACAAAAGTGTCCCTCGTCATCCTTCCTCTCGACATTACCGGGAAGAAGCTGTGTCTGTACTTCCACAAGGAAGGGCCTCACCAGGGCAAGTATCTCGGGGTGTGGGGCAGCGCAACCAAGGGCGAGACTGTCCTGCAGGCCGCACACCGCATCCTGAAGGACGAGGCTTCGCTTGAGTCTGACGCAATCGTGGTGGTTGGGATGAACAGCTTCATCCAGCCTGTGGATGATGAAGGGTCAGTGGAGGAGTGGCTGGAGTACTCAGTGGTCGCCAGGGGCGTCAGGGGCACACCAAAGTCGACGTCTGCACTGGAGCCATCCTGGGTCGACGTCGAGGTGGGTGAGGCGACACATCCCCAGTGGCCATGGAGGAGGTACATACGTGCGTGTGTCTCGTGGCAATCAGGCCATTCCCTACGACAAGATGTGGGCTGACGACTTCCACTGGTTCCCGCCGGCTCTGCAGGGCACCCCGTTTGTCGCCGTGTGGCAGTTCGTCAACTCACAAGACAACAAGATGGAGCAATACGACATCCGACACGTGGCACAAGAGGAGCTGCAGCGCCGGACTGCAGCAGCTGAGCAGCTCTTCCTGTAAGGGAGTGCGTTCGTGCGTGCATGTGTGTGTGCGTCATGGACCGTTCGCTGAGTGAGGCAAAAATTCAACCCGTCATTTGTCGTCGCGCATCGTGTCTGTCTCTCTGTCTGTCATTGGTGCCTGCCTGCCTGCCGGTCTCTCTGTCCGTCCGTGAGGGCATGCAGCCGTCCGTCCATCTACTTGACAGATAAAATACAGAGGCATGGATGCCATCCATGCCATGCGACTGATATCTACGAGTAGTGAGTGAGTGACCGGAAAAACAGTCAATCCATCTCTTCCTCCTCCTCCCCCTCCATCTTCATTCACTTCACCTATGCCGTTGTGGCCGCGGCCTCTGCACCCAAAGCACCCACACACACATACACGAGGGAGGGACAGTCAGACAGACACTACACATCCCTGCCCTGTGTGGGTGGTGTGTGTTGGGTACGGTACCTTCTTTCTTGGGCATCGCTGCCTCGAGGTTTGCATTGGCGAAATCCCAGTTGACGAGGTTCCAGAAAGCTGCACACACCGCCCCGCAACCAGAAAGGACACAGGGTGAGGCTGTGTCTGTTTGATTGTGCTGTGGGTAGTGTGTCACCCCCCACCCACCGTCAAGGAAGGCTGGCCGTGCGTTCCTGTAGTCGATGTAGTAGGCATGCTCCCACACAGAGACGCACAGAATGGGTGTGCCAAGGTTCTCCCTGCCAACCAACCAACACGACAAAGCATATATTATCTTGTTCGTTGCCCATCCCATCCCGCCCTGTCTGTCTGTCTCTCTCTCTCACTTGACGGGGTTTGACGCGTCGTGTGTGCCGACCACATCCAGCTTGCCGTCCTTCAGCACTACCCACGCCCAGCCGGAGCCGAAGTGGTCTGAGCAAGGAGGGAGGCAAGAACCAAACACAAGAACCAAACACACACACACACACACATCAGAAACCGCTGCCCTCCCTCCCTCCTTTCGGTGTGCCTGTCTTACTGGCGGCGACTTCGTTGAACTTGGTCTTGAGTGCGTCGAAGCCGCCGAAGTCCTCCTGGATCTTCTCGGCTATCGCGCCGCGGGGCAGGCCGCCACCGTTGTAGATCTGAGTGGGTGGACACACAGCGGCGTGGGTCTGCGCTGTGCTGTGCTGTGTGTGGTGTGGTGTGGTGTGGCTGTCTGTACCTTTGATGTGATGGATTTCCAGTAGAAGTTGTGGTTCCAGACTTGGGCTGAAGGAAGGCACACATGATATATTGTGTGCGCGCGCCTCTGTGTGTGTATGTGTGTGTGTGTGTGTGTGTCTGTGGCGGACCAGCATTGTTGAAGACGGCACCGTCGGCAGTCTTGACCAGCTCTGCAGAGAGGAAGTATAACACAGGCAAAACGACAGATGAGGCGTGCCTTCTCCTTGTCATCAATCTGACCCTCGAGGGATTTGCTGGCGATCGCTGGGGTCTCCTTGGCAAGTTCTGCACCACCGACAACACACCCACACACAATGAATGCACTATTCTCGTCGTTCGCTGCTTCACATCGCAAGCCCTGACTGACCGTTGAGCGTCCGCACGTAATTGGCGTGGTGTTTGGAGTACTGGTACTCGACGTTGTCCTTGCTAAGATATGGGGCGAGCGTGTCCACACCCTGTCCGTAGATGCAGCCACTCACTCATGCGTACGCCCATCGCCGAGCGGTTGTGTAAGCGTCTGTCTGTCTGACTGACTGTTTCTGCTTCTTACGAAGTCCAGCTGTGGGAGTGAGAACGGCTTTGCATCGATGAGGTCATCGACGCCCCACTCGGCATAGATCTCTTCGGTGCCCTTCCTCGCGATGCGCTTGCTCGCCACCTCCTGCAGCTCATCGTAGCTCAACGGAATGCCCTGAAACCCAGCCTGAACACACACACACACAAACAGAGATGCAATGCTCCCAGCGCTCCCCTCCCTGAACCGTGCCGGGTAGGTCTGCATCATCACATGTATCACCTGGTCGGCGTCCCATGGCGACCAGAGCAGGTAGACCTTCTCACCGGCCTTCTCCTTCTCCGCAGCGATCTTCTTGTTCTCCTCATCGATCGCCGGGGTGGACCAGGCGAACCCGCCTGCGCCCATCTGAGGGGTCAGACGTGACCGTGATGCGACAGAGGAGGTGGAAGAGGCCCTCAGCCGGGCGGGCGAGACGAAGGCATCCAGCCGAGCGCCAAGCGCTAAAGCAGATCAAATCAGACACACAGACAAGCAGAGAGGTACACATGAGTGTGCGCGTGAATCATCAGCAGTGTGAGGCCTTACAGGCAGGCAGGCAGGAAGGCAATGTGTTATGTGTTTGTTCACTCACCGTTTGAGAGGAGCGCGAAAGCGCACACAGCGATGATGGACTTCATTGCCAAGCAACCACACTGCCGGGCCACCCACTAACCCCTCAAAGCCTCTGCTGCCTCTGCCTTGCAGATCTCCACGTCAGCTCCGTTTACACCTCATTGGTAAGCTCGCAGATTGGCTGCTCCGAGAGGCCCTGCTTCCTGCTTCCCTACCAGCTCTGTAAGGCTCCAGGATGAAGGTGTTCGCCGCCGTCACCCTTGCCCTTCTTGCGGTGGTCGCCGCGGAAGACGCATCAGGTCACTCAGATCAACGCTGAGGACGGGATGAAGAAGGAAGGAGGGCAATGCAGCAAGGCCAGATGCACAAAAGACGGCAACGAATTCAGTGCAAGAATGTTTTCTTTGTTTGGTGTCTGGTGTTGTGGTGTGCAGCCTTTGTTCCCAATGCTAGCCCTCTCCTGAAGAGTCCCAAGAGATCTCTCAGGGTGAGCGAGGCCGTCACACATACGCTTCATCACTTTCCCGTGCACGGCCGTCCGTGTGTCTGGCAATGTCCATGCAACATGCAGACAACCCCCTCGATGAAGCTGGGCACCAACGCGCAGGGCTTGATCGGCAGCGACCTGGAGTGGCCCGAGTTCGACCCTTTGGGTTTCACCAACAACATCTCCGACGAGACCCTCGAGTGGTACCGGGCAGCCGAACTCAAACACGGCCGGGTCTGCATGCTCGCCGCTCTCGGACAGCTCGTCCAGTCCTTCTGGCACCTGCCAGGTCAGCTCGGCGAGCGAAGGATCAGAAGGGTCGACTGCGATTGCTCTCATGTGTCCGTGCTGCGTTCATCAGATCCGTCAGGTGTGTTTGACTCGACTGACTCGTCGTTCGGAGCCTTCAACAAGGTGGTGTCGGAGCGCCCCTGGGCGGCCATCCAGATCCTGCTGGCCATCTTTGCCGTGGAGGTGCTGGGGGCCAAGACGCAGGCCAAGCCCGGCCAGGCACCGGGCGACCTCGACTTCGACCCATTCAAAGTCAGATCGGACGACCCTGAGGTGAGTGAGTGGAGCCGAAGATGCACGACACACGCAGAACTTGGTGCACGTGCTGTATTGTGTGTCGTGTGTGGTCGGACAGATCTGGGAGGCCACTCAGCTGCGTGAGCTGAAGAACGGCAGGCTGGCGATGATCGGCATCACCGCCATGCTCGTCCAGGAAGCGGTGAGTCGATGGGCAGACGGACGATTGGATGGATTGCACACGACACACACACACACACTGGCTGGGCCGTTTGCTTTTGTCTCTATCAGATCAGCGGCAAGGGCGTGATTGCGCAGTGGCAGGGCTTGGGGCAGTCGTGAGCCTGACTGTCCTTATTGCATGGATCCGAGGTGTGTTTTTGGTTGCAACAATCAATGGCCGACGGGACGGACGGATGCGCAATTTTTACGCGTCAGCAAGACAGATAGATGATCACAGAGCTGTCTGTTCTGTAGTGAGAGATCGGATAATGACGATGTGAATAAGCGTGACTGACGTGTAATTGAAAACTCTGGCAGTGAAGATCAGGCCGTCCTCCGTGTGACAGAGGCGATCGGAATCTCGCTGCTCGCTAAGCTTGCATTCATCTCGAGAAAATGCCTCCAAAAGAAGCGAATAAGGCGGCCAAGGATGCCCCCGCTGCTGCTTCCCTTGCCCCACCAGCAGAGAATGCCGCCGCCCCTCCACCAGCAGACCCGGCCTTCCCCCTACATCTCACACACCTCACCCACCAACACACAGACGCCCTCCAGCAGGCCATGCAACTACTCGGCGACCACTCCAACATCTCACCCGCTGCAGCCAAACTCATCGCTACGACGTTTCGCGGTTACCTGGACACAGCTTTCCGTTCTCTCGGCTCGTTGGCCGACCTGTCAAGTGGGGCTTCGGCATCGTCGCTGGCAAGAGGGATTTGCGAGGGTGTGTGGCTGACGGAGGTGCGTCATGGCATCGAGACGGAGGTCATGGGCCGCGTTATGCGGCTGAGGGACAGGGTAAGGTGGGAGACTATGCCAGCCCTCGGTAAGAAGCTGGAGAGCCTCTCGGCGGCTGCAGAAGCGCCCTCGTCTCCCCCTGCAGCAAAGAAGGGCCAGGCTGCCCAGCCGCCGGTGCCTGAAGTGAGTGCGGAAGACAGAGAGAAGGAGAAGCGGCGGGTTGTCGAGTGCCAGGTTGCGCTGCTCCTTGCCGTGGCTGACGTATATTGCGCAATGGTGAGACACAGCCTTGCTGGGGCTGCCAGCGCTGAGCAGCTGGCAATGACGAGCCCGCTGCATTGGGGGAGGGAGGCTTACGCTGCCATCACTCATGCGGAGCACCTCCTGTCGACACAGCTGCCGCAGAAGGTCTGCCCGTCTTATCACCCTCTCCTCTTCCGCGCCGCTCTGGGAATGAAGACCCTCGACGACACGCTCATCGACAGCTATCAGATGGAGAGCTATTCTATGGACCCTTTCCATCAATTCGTATCTTCTGCCGTCGACAGCATTCTGATTGATTTCGCCGAAGAGCCCGAGGACGACATAGAAGACGAAGTAGAGGAGGAGGAGGAAGGGGAAAGCCCACCCTCTCCCCCAGCAATCCCACACGAAGAAGGGACGGAGACAGAGACGCACGAGGAGGGTGGGCTGGTGGGGCGGCTGGACGAGGCCGTGAGGCTGATGGGAGCAAGTGAGCAAACGGGAGACATGATTGAGGAGGTGCTTGAGGTGCTGGGTGAGTGCAGGGGACTCCTACTTCAGAAGTGTCCTGCCTTGGATGCATGTGCGTGACCCCACCCATGCATTCAATATGCTTATTGATCCCTTGTGAGTACTCATTTTCAGACATAGTCCCGCATTCACTCACACTCACTCACACTCACTCACTCTGCCCTCTGTCGGTGCCAGCAAAAAGAAGGTTGAAAGAAGAGAAATGTCCATTCACTTAACAGCCTTTCCATCTGCTGTTTGACACGGTTCACTCAGATATAAAATGTAGGCAGCCATTCTACAGACCAAAGCAAAGCCCACGCATTGTGTGTCTGCCTCTTTGCTGTCTCTCCTCTCTCCATCTGTCACCTATATCGAGTTACTTGATAGTTTGTCGCGGATGTGAGGTGACTATCGATCCGTCTCTGCCTGCCTGCATCTGTCCATTTATCTGCAGAGCCGTTCCCATATCGACTCTGGTGTCCTGTTGGCCACCAGCTTCCCAGTACCGGGCGAGAGAGACGGCACAAATATGCAGCCCTCAAGCTCTCTGCCCACCGCATCATCTCCTTTTTCCTGCTTGTCTGCCGTCGCTCGGCGTCTGCATAAAGTCGGTCGATTGCGGACGCATCTCGGTGATCTGCGGGCTGAATGTGCATCTCGCGAGGTCTGCTGAGCTGCCGAAGCCGGAGGACGCCAGCACAATGTGGCTTCTTGCTCATCACTGCCGGCTGTGCAGTATCGCAATGATCTCGCCTCTGCAGCTGTTTCTTGTTCGACAGCAGTTTCTTTTCAACCTGATAATCAACCGTCCACTCAATCAATACACACCCATACATCAGATTTGTGTCTGTCTGTCTGTCTGTCTGCTTCTACGTACCTCGTCTCTTCTGCACGCAAAAGTCTTGGAACAAACACTTGCGAGGCGCGAGGGCATGGAATGAGGAATCGTGAGAGCTTCTCCTTCCAGAATCCGCCGTGTGTATATTCAACACAATGCCCGTGTGGAGGAGAGCCGTAGTCAGGCATGTCTCCACAGAGAGTAGTGGAGAAGGACGGCCGTCTCTTCTCGTCCCTGGAATGAGCCACAAGGGGCGGCCTGGTCATAAATTTTTGTCACGTCACCGAAGACGACCTGAACGATGTGAAGGACAGCAGACGAAATATGTGGAGAATACCGATGGACATAGATGCTTGTTTGGCTTTTTGTGCTGTACATGCAGACCTCGAGGTCCATGACGATCGTGTCGTGGTCTCTCTTGACGGGTGCGAATGCCTGGGCGTCAGGAAAAATGACCCGATTGCCGTCAGCCTGAGCAGAAAGGAGGGAGGGACGGAGGGAGGGAACACACACACACACACACACACACAAACAAAGGGATGCAACGAGTGAGTGCATGTGTGTTTGACAGGTGGTGCGTCAGCCTGAGCAGAAAGGAGGGAGGGACGGAGGGAGGGTGACCGGCTTCGAATTTTTTTTTTAACAAAGGGATGCAACGAGTGAGTGCATGTGTGTTTGACAGGTGGTGCACGCTTACATTCTCAACCCTCGCGACCAATTCGCTGGCGATCATGAGTTCGTGTGGCTGCCGGCGCTCCTTGATGCTGTCACAGTCGGCCCAAAGCCGGTCAGCCTGGGGCTTGATGGCCACAAAGTGGTCCATCGCCTGCTGAC